TCTGTTTAATGTGTCTTTGTGATGAAATGGGAGTGGGGTTTTGGGTAGCCACACCTGACCGTGATGGGAACTGTCACCCAGGTGCAGCTTGGCCCGTCTTATAACTGGTGAGAACGTGTGGGGTGCAGAGTTGTCTGTAGTGTTTTGTAGGGGTTGTTTGTAGGTGTTATTTATAGATGGCTGGAGGTTTAGGGCCTAATGCCACTATGTTGTAGCTTCAAATTGCTGGTGTTGCTTGTTTACTGCGTCTGGTAAGAAAGTTAGTTGGTTTAGAAGATCGGGTATGTAAGTGGCTATTGTGTTCCAGGTTTTCTGTGCTTGTTCCTGTAGGGCGATGTTGATTGTGGGTATGTTACATCGTTCGTGGAGTGTTATAAAAGAGATAATTAAAGTCGCTGCAGTGGGTGTTGGTGATGAATCTGAGCTTTGTTCTGTATCCTTTGACGTTGAGAGATTGCTGTTCGCGACAGAGTGTGCAGTGGTATGGGCGTATAGGTAAGTGAGGATCGTACAAATGCCATATACACTCTGTATTTTAGGTTGGGATGAGGTTGGCGAATCTGTAAAGTTTCTGAAGGTTTCTTCTGTCTTGCTGGGACTTGCGTTCTGTATCCGTGAGTGGTTAACTGGTTATTTGGAGCCCTAAAACCATTCCTTTTGTTATGTGGGGGAAGTGTTTGTTGGCAATGAAAATGTCGGTTGCGTTTTTCTTGCTGATTGGGATTATCTTGAATTTTGAAGTGTTTGTTTAAATCTTCCATTTCTGCCCGAACTTGTTTATCTGTGTGATTGCGTGTTCTGTTAGTTGAGCAGCGTAACGGTTTGTGTGCCTGCAGCTGGGATCTGATGTCGTCGGCGAATGCAATGTAGTCGGTGTTTGGTAGAGGTGGGGGGATGTCGTGGGTGTAGTAGCTGTAGAGTGTCGGTGAGAGCCTGGCTCCTTGAGGAACTCTGGTGTGTATTGGGAATGAGGGCCTTAGATTTGTGTCCATTCTAATTGACTGTTTCATCTTTAGTAAAGTCGATCAGTGTCCGTGTAAATAAAGGGTGTAAGTTTAGTTGGTCGATTTTATATGAAAGGCCAGTATGCCAAACGCGATCGAATGCTTTTGTGACATCACGGAGGACTACGTCTATTTTTTTTTGGGGGGGGGGGGGTTAGGTTGGTGGAGAGTGTTTCGCAGAGTGTATCTAATGCAGTGTGAGTTCCTCTTTGTTTTCTGAATCCGTGCTGTCTGGGGTTAAGTTAGTTGTTTGTTTCGAGATGAATGTATAATCTGTTATTGAGTATTTTATCCAGTATCTTTCCTTGTATGTCCAGGAGTTTTTAGTTTCCAGGAGTCTATAGTTTTTACTTGGTGTTGGGTTGTATTGGGTTTGGGGATGAAAATCATTATGGCATGTTTCAGTGAATCGGGAAAGTATCCAGCGTAGATTGACTGATTGAATATGTGGAGTCATAATTGCAGCATGTTCCGAGGGAGATGTTTTACTTGTATTGTGGTGATACCTGTTGGACCCGGTGCTTTTTGTTTAAATGATTTTAGCGATCGCTGGGGTTCTCGAATGGTAATGGGGGGGAAGTCTAAGGGATGTAGTCTTTGAATGTTCCCAGTGTGGTACAGGGTGGTGTGATGCGCGATGTTATTCAAGTGTTCTTGGATTGTGTTAATGTATTCAGTATCAAACTCTTCATTATCAGTTTCGGAAAAAATGTGTTGCCAGTGTTCACTGAATATAGTTTTTTTTTGTTGTGGAGTGTCTAATCGGATGTTATTGTGCTTGAGGTATTTGACTATTTGTTTCGTTTTGGAATCCTGTCATTCTTTTGACGGATCTCTAAAACTATTTTGGGACTTCTTTGAGTTCAAATGTTGATATGAGGTCTTGCCATGTTTTCGTTTGTAAGTTTAGGTAGACAGTTTGTAATTGAGAGCGTAGTGAATGAAGTTGTCTTTTCAGCGCTATTGATGGACCATGTATTTGTACGTCGTGAAGGGTTACCAGGTACCGAGTTTGTTTTAGGAGTGTTTCGTGATTCGGTTATTCAGTTTTATGCCAGGAATTATCCGGTGCATGTGTGATGTTGGGAACGGCAGGGTCTAAGGCACGTCGTACAGGCTTTGTCCATTTTTCTAAGTCTATTCTATCTATTTCTTCTAGCGCTGAGACTGGCGTTGACAGTACTTGGTGGTGTTTGAGCGAGTCTTTGTATAGGGTCCAATTTGCATTATGAAATGATTTACGTGGTCGGATTGGAATTTTAATTGGATTTGCCGAGATTGTGGCAATGGTTGGGATGTGGTCCGAAGGTGTTATTGGTCCTGGTTGGAGATGTATATTGTGAAATGCTGTGTTGTGGATTACTCTATCTGGGGATGTCATGCTTTTGTGGGCGATAAGAGTGGGGAAGTAGGGATCTATGTGAGAGCATTTGTTTTGAGCGATAAGCGTGTGTAGCTGTCTGCCTGTGAGGTTGGACCTGGAGTTTCCCAGTGAAGGATGGTTGGTTAGCGTTCAAATCGGCAAAAAGGTACACCGGGTGCGGTCTGTTAAGGAGGGTGTGGAAGTCTATGAAGTTTCGGTTACCGGTTCGAGGAGGGATGTACGTGGGTCCAATAATGATAGGTCCTTGTAGGGCGTCTATTGCTACAGCCAGCATATCGGAGTGGAAGTTGTCGTGAACGTGTAGGGAATGTGACTCTTGATAGCGATGGCAGCACCGGCGTGTTGGGCGTTGTCTTTATTGGTTGTGTGTGAGTGGTAGTTGAAGATTTTGAGAGGAGTGTTGTTAGTGAGGGACTGGTCGTTCAGCAGAATGATATCAGGGTCGATGTTGTTGTATATGTTGTTGTAGATGTTGGCGAGCGCAAATTTTTTTTTTGGTCCAAATTCGCACATTGTGTTGGATGATTTTTATTGAACGCTGTGGCGTCATGTTGGAGAAGAATGTTTAGTAGTGGACGTCTTTGATTTCTTAAAGATTGATGTTGTGGTAGTAGTGTGGCAACTCATGGCGTCGAAAGCTTCGTGCGGAATTATGCTTCTGTGAGGTCTGTCTATGATAAGTTTGTCGCGTTTTAGTAGGTCGAAAGTTAGGGCGGCGTCTCTCTCGCGCACCGACAACTTTATACCTAGGGTTTTCTTCATCAACTCTTCTATGAACCAAATGTTACGAGGTGCTGCTGGGATTCTGGTGGGGTCTTGGTCGCTTCTGAAAAATTTGATCTGAATGGGTTTTGCGAGTCCGGGTGCGGTGATGGTTGTTTCATGATAGCTTTCGCCGCAGATTTTCCGTTTTTTTAGGGTACCACTCGACATTGTGGGTTTTTGTTGATGTTGTTGATGGAGGTAGAGTTTCTCTGGAGTCGTGGTCACCATCTGCATTCTGTTACGTCTAATTTAGTGAGATCTGCTGAGGTCGTCGTCATCTATGAAAAATCTATAAATCGTCGTAATCTATAAAATCGGTGTTGTCATCTTACGGTTGCTTCTTGTCGTGGTTGTAAAAAAGTTGAAGATTTTGCTGGAGTCGTGGTTGTAAAAAAAGTTGAAGATTTTGCTGGAGTCTCAGTTGGGGAATGTAGCATCAATGTCGCAATTTGCTTTTAAAGATTTAAAGAGTATTGAGCCGAACCCCTCCTGTCTGGCGAAACTGGCTATGTGAGCTTCTAGGATGAGTGCCGTGAGTTTGATTTGAATGGAGTTGGTGAGGGTGATGTTTTGCTGGGGTATGTTCGTTTGTGTGATTGCAGTTTTGGCCATTTCGACGTAATTATTTTTTTTACTTCTTGGTCCTATACGTTTCTTTGTTTTCTAGAATTTTTTTTCCAATAGGTGCAGTTGGCGGCAAGTGTTCTGTGGTCAAAGCCGCAATTTAAACATTTCTTTTGTATGTTGGGGCATTGCGTGTATGTGTGATCATGAGCTGCACACTCTGAGCAGGATGGTATGGTGGCGGTGCATAGGTGGTAGGACGATCCTAGAATTTGTAACATCTGTAGCATAACAGGATGTGGGTATATCTTTCTTGCTGACACTGACTGCAGGGTGATACGGGTGTTAAACATGGCACGACATTCTTTAGGGATTCGTTGGGCTATTGTTGTGTCGGTTGTTATTATTTTAATGATGTAAGTGTAATACTTGATTTTAACTATTTCGTGCATGTGGGTCCAGTTTTGCATTCGCGTTATTTCGTCTTTGATCTCAGTCGGGGTTTATTTGCCTAGATCTCTGTCAAGCTGTCTTAAAAATATTGTTCGTTTGGACCTTAGATCAGGAGCGATAGTTAGTGCCAAGTTGATTTTCTTGAATGCATCGGTTGCTTTTTTGGAGGTTAGTCGGTCTATTGCCGAGATGTCGTCAGTGACAGCGTAAAAGCCTGTGGTGGTATCAGTTAGCCGGATAAGTGGGGCTTTTAGGTCTTTAAATGTGGTCTGGAAGACTTGTGAACGGTCAATTGTGAGTCTAGGGTCGATTTTCTTGAGTTTAATTCTGTAGGTGGGTGGTCTTAACTGAGAGAGTTTATTGGATGTTTGTGATGAGAAGTTGGGATGAGATGGGATGAATATGGATGATTTTCGGTTATAGAGGGCAGTTTTGGTCGTGAGGGAGGAGGGCCAGATTCATGAGCTCACTGAGGCAAGCCCTGAGAGCCCCGCCCTCCCCCGGTCAGGAGAGAGGGACATAAGGTGGGACGCGCGCAAGGTCTAGGGTTAGTGGGGTGCAATGGCAAATTTATAAAGAGAGAAAGGAAGAAATAGGGGTAAAATAAGACAAATCACAAAATCCTAGTGGCACAAATTTACCTCTGCAGGAGGTCGGGTCCAATCTCGGGGCACAAGGTCCGTTTCGCAAACACTTCACAACAAGGTAATCATAACGATGTAATTCAAATCCGATCAACGACGTGAGTTACGATGAGACGATCTTCTGTCTGACCAGTGATGCCTTGTGCGTTTTTCATGCTGCTTCGACCTGGTTTCAGGTTCTTCATTCGAACTCCTGTGCAACTGATGTTTCCTGAATTCATGTTTTTAATTCTCGTTTCTAATATTTAAGGATTACGTCACGTAATTTGTTGCAGAATTTTTCTTCTAGTTCGTCGCATGATAATGCTTCTTCTTTTTGTGAACGGGTGAATTTAAATCTGGAAGGTCGGTTGTTTGGTCAGTTTTTTCAGGCTAAAATTAACCATTTTAGACGAATGGGTCAGCGGCGCTTCTGTCTTTACTCTACTACTGGGAAGTTTTTTCAACATTTGTATGATTGTGCCGACGTTTCCACTTCATACACTTCCATTTTCGGCCTGGCCTCCTCTGGTGTCGATGTCGGTGACCACCCTTTCTCGCAGCTTCGCTCAAACTCGTATTGAACGGATGGCCATGGCCACCGGGAGATTTTGCGTGAATTTCTGTTGCTCTCGTTTCCTTTTCGTAACTATATTTCTTCGTTGTGTTATGGTACGTTTTAAGTTTATTCCGTCCGGAGTTAGAGGGTTCATTACCTTGTCTTGTTTCATGCGCATCGACTTGACTATTTTGCAGCCTTCGATGTTCATCATTGTCAGGTTCTTTATTCTATCCTTCAAATTTCAATGGCTTTTCACTGTTGTTATATTTTGGTGTTTCTTAGCCCGGTTTTTCATTCGGCATCGTTGACTGCGAAACCGAACTTGAGTGCAAATCACTATGACCGGCTCCTTTAACAGGTTCCTTTGTGTGATTGGAGAATTTTTCTTTGACTGGCTCCTTGCGTTTTGTCACTTTCGTCGTAACTTCCTCCTTTTAAAATTTGTACTGCGAAACTTTCTTTTCTTCCGTTTTTTTCACGCCTTTTTTATTTTTATTAGGTTTTTCATTAGATGGAACATCATGCGCTCTTTAACGTGAATATGTGTCACCACCGTGACTATTGTCAATAAAATTGGAGCAATTAAAGCAAATCAAAATATGGTTACCAAGTTTAGAAGTAAAGTTTCTCATTTTGTAACTTCCACGCGGGCTCTCGGTAACAATTTGAATATTGTGAACAGAAGGTTTATTTCTTGAAAAGCTCTCTCGTATGGTCACTTGTTCGTCGTGTAAACGTAATTTTCTGTCCTGAGACATCAACCCATCAACTGCATCTTCCATTATCATTTCGGTATCACCCAAGCCAATCCATGAATTTTCGGCAGTTTCCTTTGTTTTAAAAGCGTTGTTGATCAACGTTCTCCCGGAATTTTTTTCAAAATCAAATCTTGGGGGATCACAAGGTGACAGATACATTGCCATCTACAGACGATTCAAAGCATAAAGCACTTCTTTAGTAGTAGGCATGATGTCGGTCGGGGAAGCAAAAAACCCTCTGTCACCTTCGTCAGGGAGCTCGATAACGTAAGCCAAATTAATGCCCAAACTTCCAACAACCCAATCAGTAAACGTCCCTGAAGCTGGGTACAAAATTTCGTAGGATTGTCCGTACCGATATACGCGCTAATTTATCATCTTCATATACAAAGACATTTGCTGTGCAACGCTGGTAACACACGTAAACGTTTTTCGTCGTTCTCCGGTGTTATCCCAGGGATAGGTTATCATCTGTCCGTAAGTGTGCAGGCTCACAACTGCACGAATTTAGTTTTTATGTTCCGTCAAAAACTAAGATATTGCTCGAGTTTCCTGTTCAGAAAAAGATTTTACTCCTTGATAATCCTCGGTACATGGCAATTGTCCTTTCCTCTCTACTCCTCAACGGTATCCAAAATTCCTATTTAAATCAACTCCAGTGCAAATCTCCCAATGCGAGCTATGTATTTATGGTGATCGGTTCTTCCTCCACAATCTGTCATGAGTTCTGGAGAATTCATATCCATCAGGGTTAACTAAAGGTGCCACGAACCATTGGTTTTTCAAGATGTGTTCGTCATTTAAAGTGCACATAATAATAAGTGTTTCTAGCACTGCCATTGCGACAGCTATTGAGAGCCATTCTCTTGCATGCATGCCACCGTCGATCCACATAGCATTCGTTGTGGGGCCTTGCGGGTTGACGACCATCACGTAAATAGATCGATTTTCATGCGTGGTTCCAATGGCGCGCAGAGATACATGTGGCCTGGCTATGATTGATAAACATTTTAACCGGTCTTCAAGATCTTTAAAGGAGTTGAATTATTAATAGTCTAACACCCTGCACAAGTGATCAAACTCTTCCTAAGTCTTGTAATAGTCTTCGTATCTTCCTAATTCCTTGCTTGTTGGCATAGTTGAGCGGTATTTTAATTTCATTTCGTCAATAAGTTTTGTCACGTTGTCAACGTCGTCGAAACGGGAAATCAGCTTCTTGCGGCGGTCAGAATTGTCCATACGTTGAAGTCGAATGTCGTTTGTGCGAGAAAAATCGATCGTTTTTTAAGCCTAATCACTATTTCGGGCCAAGCTTTAACCGTCGTAAGTTTCTGCCCATCTGTTCAGGTGTTCTACCGACTGTGCTTAAGCATCCTCAATCTGCGCATTGCCGTTTGGACTCCTTTGTTCCGATTCTCGAATAACTACCAAGCAGACGAGTACTGCTAATGCTAACGTCGAATATTGCTTGCCGAATTTTGTCATCGTGAACTCATGTTGTGCAGGACTGAAATCATGGGCGAAAGCTCGTTCGAATCTTATGTTCCTTTGGTATATAAGCTACATTCTTGAGTATTTCTTTTAAATAAATTGAATTTTTATGTATCTTATTTTGAAATTTGAAAGTTTTTATCTGCAATTTTCATGCAGAGATTATGACGCTTGCCCTTCGTAAGTTAAACACTTGTATCATAACTACTCATTTGACTGCGCTTAGCGAATTATATTGTAAGGAATTGGATTTGTTGGAGTGCGTCCCTAGCAATATTAATTAAGGGGACCGTCTGGGTCAAAAATAGAAAATTTTGTCTTTTCCGTTTTCTTGACTCATTTGTAGCTGCTGAGAAGGCGCGTCTAACGCAGTACACTGCATTTATGTGCGTGCTATAGTTTTTGAGTAAGACAATTTTAAAAATATATAAATTAACATTTTTTCAACAATATGTGCAAAGTTTCTTTAAATTAAATCTGTGTAAAGTGATCAATACTGTCGTTAGTTGCAGAGTGTTTGCATTCGTTTGAAAGCTGTAAATGAGACGTGTTCAACGAAGCTACTACAATGGATATACGTGCAATACTTTTTGCGTAATTCAGTCATGAACTTTCATAAAATGACCATTGTATAACAATATTTACAAATTTTCGATTTAAAAATGGAATTTATAGATCATCATTTGCATTAGTTGCATAGAGTTATCTCTCGCTTGAAAACTACAAACAATGCGCGTTCAAATAAGCAATTATCATTGATGTACATGCAATAATTTTTGCGTAATGCAGTTTGAACTTATATAAAATGAATATTTTATATATATAAATGTAAAAAATCACATACATATCTCATTATTCACAGTAAACTGGACAGGAATGTGTCTAAAGACGCGCGCTGGTTCCCTAAATGCATTTAATTGGCAATGGGAAAGGTTGGGCTACAATATCCACAATTTTTTGGCATATTCTTATTTTTTCAATAAATTTTACTCTATTTGGCTCTCCTGAACAATTTAAAAATCCAAAAAACGCCATCTTAAAAAGTTTATAACTCCTGCAGTATTTAAGCTGCAGCAACGAAGGACATACCATTCGATTCTTAATTAGAATATCTAGCGACTCTAGCGTGATTTGCAAACGTTATAAACTTTTTTAGAGTACCCGTTTTATAATACTCGTTGCCGTTTTCTATTAATTTCTCGTTTTCTTTCATTTTTTTCCGTGAAATTCATACAAGCAAACTGTTTGTTATTTTACAAGTTTCGTATGTGTGTGAAATTGCCGGAAGATTGGTTGATAAATGTAGAAGTTTTTCCGGGACCCAGACGGTCCCCCTTAATTAATGCATTCGGCGAGCTGTTTTGGCTAGCATCTATAGAAGTGATAATCAAACATGATGATAATTTAAAGGTAAAACTTTCATTTTCTCATTCGGTCTTCATACAAATACGATGGAATAACGTAGATTAAAAGAAATAGATTTAAAATTTTAACTGTCATTTGAAAGCGAAATATCTCTCTCCTCGAGTGCGATTTGATATCGCAATAATTGTAGAAAACATTTATTTTGAGCAGCGGTGCATATTCTACAAAAGTCTGCAGTCTTGTTGTGTCGTCTACAGCAGTTGAAAGGTGGTAATTTACACTTATTTCTTCTCAATCAGCTTTGTTCAAAATTATTACTTTTTGTTGTTGTGTAGCTCTGTTGTCAGTTATGGCATTCTCATTTATTCTTAACGTAGCTTAACTTCGATTTATATCGGCAACGTTGAAAATTAGAAAACTGTGTCGGTATATTTATTAAGGTTGCATTTGTATTGTCCAAAAAATGGCTAAGACTTATTATTGCAAGAGCCCTAAAGGTATTTAATATTTATGTAACTATTCGTGATAGGTTGAGTTTTCCGTCTCTAGAAATGAAGATTTAATGCTCCCGTCAGGTTGTAGGGGTCGTAATATTTTCTACTCGCAAACGGTGCGTCCTTAGCAACTACACTTTTGCTGGGGAGTCCTTCCATCTATTAGACTCTGAGAAGAGGGTCTATTATTAGACCCTCAGAAGAGGGTCTGTTCTATTTTGAGGGATGTGTGACTTCTAGATGAGGTCGATGATATTATGTGAATGTGAAAACATTCCAGAAAAAAACACGAAAGTCGTACAACATAATTTGCCTCAAAATGTATAAAACAATCTGTTGTATACATTTTGCCTGACTTCCTCGATGTACTGTCTATGAAATTAGGCGTGATATTTATGGTCGAGCATGGAACTTTTATTTGAGTTTAGAGGAATTCACTTCTATACAAGCAAAATTTGTTGTACTACGGAACTAAGGCGTTTGAGGCTAAGAATACTTTGTTAAGAGAAAATATTCGCAATTTCTGTTCACTTTAGTCATCTTCATCACAATAAATTTAGAATGATGTGTAAATGTCAGATAGACAATATGTTTAACCGGTTACTCTAGAAAATGGCTCTCAAGAAAGTTTTTAAGAAATTCTGTCTCTCGGAGGTGGTGGTGGAGGTGGCGGTGCCACTAGGAAATGTGGGAAGAAATCAAGAGGCCAGAAAGGAGAAGGCCTCAGGGTGGCCAGAAAGGAGAAGGAGAAACGGAAACGATAGTAGAAGGCGAAAAGGCGCTTAGCGCATCATTCGGTTTGATGGTGTGTCCATGGTTTTTTTTCTGGGTTTGAGGGATAAGAATCCCATCGGGGCTTTGAAGGGTCATGTGGAGTTTTAGGCTTACATTTCGTTGTATGGTTGCTAGACCAGCGCAATGGTTGATGAAGAGGATGCGGATGAATGATAGATGATAGTGGTGAAGCTGTGCGGTGATACAGTCGGGTAGCTCGTGGTTTAGAGGCGCGAGTTGTTAAGTTTGCTATTCGTTGTATGTCTCTCACTGCGTCTGATACGTCTGTTTAATGTGTCTTTGTGGTGAGATTGGAGTGAAGTTTTGGGTAGCCGCACTTGACCGTGATGGGAACAACCGTCGCCCAGGTGCAGCTTGGCCCGTCTTATTGCTGGTGAGAACATGTGGGGTGCAGGGTTATCTGTAGTGTTTAGTTTTAGGGGTTGTTGGTAGGTGTTATTTGTAGATGGCTAGAGGTTTAGGATCTAATGCCATTATTTTGGAGCTTTGAAATTGCTGGTGTTGCTTGTTTACTGCGTCTGGTGGGAAAGTTAGTTGGTTTAGAAAATCGGGTGTGTAAGTGGCTATTGTGTTCCAGGTTTTCTGTGCTTGTTCCTGTAGGGCGATGTTGATTGTGGGTATGTTACATCGTTCGTGGAGTGTTTTTGAAGAGATAAAGTCACTCCAGCCAGTGTTGGAGATGAATCTAAGTGCTTTGTTCTGTATCCTTTGATGGTGAGAGATTGCTGATCGCGACAGAGTGTGTAGTGGTATGGGCGGATATGTAAGTGAGGATCATACAAATGCCATATACAATATGTATTTTCGGTTGAAGGGGGGGGGGGAGATGGCGAATCTGTAAAGTTCCTGAAGGTTTCTTCTGGCTATCTGCTGTCTTACTGTGACTTGCGTTCTGTATCCGTGAGTGGTTATTTGGAGCCCTAGAGCCATTCCTTTTGTTATTCAGGCGAAGTGTTCGTTGGCAATGAAAAGTCGGTTGTGTTTTCCCTGCTGATTGGCTGATTGGAATTATCTTGAACTTTGAAGTGTTTGTTTAAATCTTCCATTTATGCTCGAACGTGTTTACCTGTGATATTGCGTGTTCTGTTAGTTGAGCTGCGTAACGGTTTGTGTGCCAGCCAGCTGGGATCTGTGTGATGTCGTCAGCGAATGCAATATAGTACAGAAAATACAGAAAATAGAGCCCCCGATCTCTGCCGCGTCTACGTCGTGGGGGTACCCTGGCCTGCGAGTCGGCTGGATGCCCGGCATACTCGCGGGCCAGGCCAAATGGCAGAGGCCCCCCCGCCCGGTTCGCTACCGGACGGAGGCTCCTTTATTCATTTTTTCGACCAAGGGTCGGGTAACCTCGGCCACCCCTTCCCCCTACCCACTTCTTTGGCCGCCTATCTTTCCTGAGGCACAGTATGTCCTTCTCTTCTCTCTCTTCTTTTCTTCCTATTCGTCCTTCTCCCCCTGACCCAGGGTACCCATCCCAACCCTGGCCCACACCCCTGCTCAGTCTGCTTCCTCCCGGTTACAAAGCGATGTTTCTCGTTCCTGTGCTCCGCGTGCAACGCCTGATGCCACAAGCGGTGCTCTGGCCTTCGCTCCATTCACCTCTACTCCACAGACTGGACCTGCCCTACGTGCAGACGGTCTGACCCCATCCCAGTCTCCCATTCTGGCCTCCTCCCACCTTTGCGTCCTCCAGTTTAACTGCAACGGGATTCAATCCAGTGCAGTTGAACTGGCTACTTACCTCACCAAGAACAACGTGGCGGTTGCTTGTCTCCATGAGACCAAGCTATCAGCAGCATCCCGCCCCCCTTCCTTCCCGGATACGCGCCGGAGAGCAGGGACCACCCCGGAGGTCACGGCGGCGGTCTCCTCATCCTGATCCGCCATGATGTCCCCTACACCGGACGAGACATCTCTCCCCTCCTACTCAGCGACACCACCATGGAGGCTATGGCAATCTCCACTCCTCTTAACGGCTCACCTCTCCGTATCATCAATGTTTACATCCCACCGGCCTCCTCCTGCCCCCAGGGATACTCCCCAGAGCTCGCGGACATTATCTCCATCCCGGGAGACTGCCTGATAGTGGGTGATTTTAACGCCCACCATCCCTCCTGGTTCTCCCACTCGGAAGACCAGAGAGCCGCAGCGCGAGGAACCGCAGTCAACGACCTCGTCGCTGGTTCCTCCCTCGCCTACCTCAATAAGGACTCCCATACCCGCCTCCCCTTCCATGGCCCGCCATCCTCCCCGGACCTCGCCATCATCAGCGGTCACCTACTCCTCAGCACATCCTGGGCTCCTCAAGTTGCCCTCAACTCGGACCACCTGTCCATCCTGATCCATCTCCCTTCCTCTGCTGATTCCCCAACCCCCCGGGCCGCCCGCTCCTATGTCAACTTCAAAAAAGCTGACTGGCCCG